GGGGTATCAATGGCAAACCCCCATGTGGCATCGGCTGGAACTTAAGCACCATTTTAAAAAGAAGGAATGACTTTCTGTCATCTGGAAACTTGTAACAAACAAGGTGACTTCAACAGCCCCAGAAGGCTCCCAACGGTCAGGGACTTCGACCGCCGTCTCAGAGGTGACGCGGAGGAAAACCGCCAGGGCCACCTGCATCCCATCCTGCAGGCCCTCTCCCGAGGTCCTGGCAGAACCCCTCATGTCCTGCTCCCCACCCAGATCCAAACTCGACGGGGGACCGATTTGAAAGTAAACCAACATTCTTAATGTCAACACAAGGTTTGTTTAAAAAAAAAAAAAAAAAATCAAAATGTGCAAAGTGGCAGTGACTGTCCAGTTCGGAGACACGTTTAGCAAGTCCGAGCGTGTTCAATTTTCTTTAGCAACTGCTGCTGTCTTGCCTGCAGCTTCTCCTTCTCCAGCAAAAGCTCGTGCTCCTCGGCCTGGAGGGAGTGGACGTACTCGGTGGCCTTTTTCAAGATGACCACCTTGGCGGCCTTCTCGTTCTTCACCAGCTCTGGCACGTGGTCCCTGAGCGTGAGGAAGCTGGACCGCAGGTCGTTGCGGCGCTGGCGCTCCAAGATGTTGTGGTTCCGACGGCGCTCGCTGTCCTCCGAGTCAGAGTTGCGTGGGCTCAAGCTCTTGGCCTTTGGGGGGATGACACTCTTGAGGGGACGTGGGGATGCTTCACTCTTTATCTTCTTCTGGGGCGGCGCATCCTCGCTCTCCACGAAGGGAGACGGGGCGGCGTAGTTGTGTTGCTGGTGGATGGGGACGCAGCGCTTGAGGATCAGCTCACCCGACGGGGCCCTCCCAGGTCCCAGGGCCGCGCTCTTGGGACGCACGGTGATGGTGAAGGTGGTGACGGCCTTGCTGTTGGAGGAGGACCGCCGCTTCTCCACAGTCACTACGTCGATTTCCTCCTCTTCGTCTTCCTCCTCGTCATCTTCATCATCTTTGAGAACAAGGTGAGGGTTATTCTCATGACGAGGCACGTATGAATCAAATATACATACAGTCTCGTAGAGCAGGCCCTGGCCCGTGGTTTGCGCTTACTGTGATCCATCAGCACAGGTCTCTGAAGAGAGCTGTACGTGCTTTTTCCCTCCCCATACTCCTAGCATTTCATCTTCCATTCAAGCTTGAGCAGGTGGCAGAAATAGAAAGAACCTCGGCTTTGGAGTTAGAAAGAATCCCGGCTCCATCACACACACTAGCTGCACGACCCTGGGCAAGGTATTTTCTAAGCCTCAGTTTCCCCAGCTACTAAATGGGGGATAATGCCATAGGTTGAGTTGGACAGATAATTCGTAGACAAGAGTCTCAGCAAACGGTAACCCTTTCCCATCATCGCTAGTCTGCCCCATAGACTTATTTATATTTCCATCTCCACACTTAAGAACTGAGGCTCCTCATTTTAGGAGCCTCAGTTAGCCACTTACACATGGTGGAGTTTGATTTTAAGTGAAACAAACTATAGAACAATTTAATTCACTAAGGAAGAAAAATACCTTGTCTTCCATGAACATGACTTCTATACAGTAAGCAGTTTTTCATCTAAAAAAGATCAAACCTTAACTACAGAGCAGTAATCCACTGGAGCTCTAAACCCAGATATGGGGCACCTCTTCTCAAAGCCACCACCACCCGCAGCAGCCAGAAAAACGTGTAGCATCATGTGTGCGTTTTCCCTCTCTCCTCATTTACTACCATGCTCGGATAGAAAATTATTGTTTAAAAATGCAAGCATGAAAATCAAAACACATCTTCTGCTTGATCTGAAGGGGACCGGAAAGCTGAACAATTGTGGGATTTGTGCTAAAGCCGAAATGTGAGGCTGTTCCAGTCGGTGGGTCCCTTTAAGCCAATGTTTTGGTTTTCTGCCAAGAAGACAGCTGTTGGAAGGAAGTGCTTCCTCACCAAAAGCTGTCAAGGCACAGACATTAAAGGGACAGGCCCGTTCAAACTGAAGGCTTATCCTCAAGTTTCCTTTCAGGAGCCTCAGATGAAATCTGTCCTCAGCCCTGAAGGAAATGTAGGCTTTTTATCCATCTGCATTCTGAAAACAGTGGTTTTCAAGGTCCAAGTCTCCCAGCTCCAAGGACAAGGGCTATTCCAGGATTTGGGTAGAGTTCTTCACCTTCAGGCAACGTCTTGGTTTTAACCCTGCTCTCCAGTTTCACCAGGAGGCACACAATAGAACTAATCAATGAGCGCTTCAGGGTGTGTGCATTCCTGGAGGGCCTGCTAACTGCCCGCCCTCACCTTGAAGGACACTGGGTTACAGAACACAGCTCGGATCTGAAATTAGTCCTGGAACTCTGGCTAGAAGATAAAACCGGGCGGTTCTCACTGCACACTGTAAAGAGGCGGCCCCTTGAGAATGTACACAACCGCTGTGGTACTGGCCGCCAGCTGCTGAGTGAAGGGAGGGAGGGGAGGGATGGCCCTACCAGCCCCAGCCTCTCAGATCCTCGCCCGCCTGCCGGCCAGCATATCGCCGCCTGCTGGCGACGGACCAGGAGCAAATAGCCCACCACCCACCGAGGGAGGGGGGGGGAAAAAAAAAAAAAAAAAAAAAAAGAGTACCGAGGTTCGAAAAAATAAAATACAATCGGTGCTCACCATCTGTGCAATCCCTCCCTAACTTCCTGCACCCTAAATAGGACTTTGCACAGGCTTGTGCTTTTCGGGGCGTCTCCCCACCCCTGACCCGGGCCACAGAGTCCCTTTGCACCCCTGGGCTAACAGGTTTCTGCCAGCGGCCCCCCGAACCCCAACTCGGCTTCAGCCACTCAACTTTCCCTCATTTTCTTCCTCGGAGAGCGCTGCAGAGAGAGACGGGGGACGGGGTGGGGGCCAGTGATGGAGTCGGGCTCCCGGCGCGGGGTGAGGGAACTTTAGAGAAGGTGAGGCTGGAGATCACAGCTTTCACCCACCCTCTCCTCCGTACCCTAGAGATGGGCCCGGGAAGAACCGCTTCTCAGCCACCAGCACTACCTCGAAACGACTCTCCCCCAGCACCCTAACCCACGAACGACAAACCCGGCGCCACCCCCAGCCCCAGTACCCCAGGAGGGCAGCCGGACCCTGGCTCGCTCTTTACCTGAGTCGCTCAGGGTGTCCTCTCCGGAGGTGCTGAGGGCCTTGTGGTCACCGCCGCCGGC